CATACTTTAGATCATACAAAAGCTAAAGATTCTTTTTCAAAAAAAAGAAAAGAAAAGGAACGACCTTCACACTTTAGACTATACACAAACTAAAGATGCTTTTTCAAAAGATGGATTGATTTTCACACTTTAGACCATACACAAACTAAAGATGCTTTTTCAAAATAAAAAAGGAATGACCTTCACACTTTAAACCATACAAAAAATAAAGATGCTTTTTCATAAAAAAAAGAAAGAAAAAGGAATGACCTTCACACTTAAGACTATACACAAACCAAAGATGTTTTTTTCCAAAATAAAGGAATGGTCTTCACACTATAGACTATACACAAATTAAAGATGCTTTTTTAAAAAAAATAAAGAATGACCTTCACACTTTAGACTATACACCAACAAAAGATGCTTTTTCAAAAGAAGGAATGACCTTCACACATTAGACTATACACAAACTAAAGATGCTTTTTTAAAAAAGTAAAGAAAAAAGCAATGACCTTCACACTTTAGATTATACACAAACTAAAGATGCTTTTTCAAAAAAAAAAGAAAAAGGAATGACCTTCACACTTAAGACTATACACAAGCTAAAGATGCGTTTTCAAAAAAAAGAAAGAAAAAGGAATGACCTTCACACTTTAGACCATACACAAACTAAAGATGCTTTTTCAAAATAAAAAAGGAATGACCTTCACACTTTACACTATACTCAAACTAAAAGTGCTTTAAAAAAAACTCTTAGAAGGCACATGCAATTTAAGTTTTTTATTTTAGATATTAAATCCTACAAAGAAGAGACTTGTGGCAAAATTGAAATGTATTTCGTTGTCTCAGTATAGAATCTGTCTTCAGAATAGCGACGAAAAATCGACACCTAGACAAACATTCATTAGTGTGATTTCAGTCTAAAGAAAAGCTCGTCCTTTTTTCAGACATTGTCGTTTTTCCACTTGAATAGATCCAAGATCTGCTCTTTTTATGAATATTTAACAACAGTGGGGTTAAAACTACTCCCATTAAATTTTCACACTCGGAAAATTTTAGTCGCTTATCTACAACAAACATATTGACGAATAAAAACGCAAGTAAGTTCTAAAACTTTTTTTTTACGAAAACACACTGTCGTATTTACAAATCTCTATTTTGTAAAGGCCAGGAATCCCCATTTGATACGCACATGATGCCTGTAAGATGTTTTGTTGATTATCGAACTAATTCGACTATTTTTCACGTTGAGTCTAACAATTTTATTAAATAATCTGTAATTATTAGACATAAGTTACATGTATTTGCTTCATGAAATTTGTATATATATATATATAAAGAATAAAATATAAAGGGCAGTGATATCCTATACTGGATTCGAATTATACACTTTCTTTCTCAGACACAGATAGTCAAAGATAAACACAAAGCGTCTTTCAATCACACTCTATATTAATTCGAGTTTATATACAATCATAAACAGCATATGTTTCCTGAAGAATCTCGAGCATCTTTGTCGTACGTTAACATGCCATTATGCTGAACAATTCTCAGTAAGCAAATCGTCAATAAATACAAGACATTGAGTTTTCGTTTCGCTCTAGGTATGCACATGTGTAATTAGTTTTACTCAAATTCAGTTTAGTTATTTGTAAAAACTGAAAAGTTGCTATCAATAGGTGTTTATTTTTTTCTCAGGGTAGAACCACATTTTCAAAAACTGGATAACACTCCGTTACGTATTTTTCTATTCAGAGTGATTTATATATTTGTTTGACTAAGAACCTGGCTCTCTATATATGCAAATCTTCCTTGAGTTTTGATTTCCTGAATATATAGATAATTCTCACGTGACTACAGTTTTTTTTAAATTCGTGTTTCATGCTGAAAAAAACTGATACAAATATGTAATAATGTTTTTCTGATTGTTCGTACACTTGAAATATGCATTACGTTAGTACTCTTTTTTTTTAAAGGTTTAATTTAAACAATCATAACACAATTAATATTCACGTACTCTCCTTCAGATTCAATTTATATAATTAAAACCAGAATAAAACGCACGCAATATTCTTTTTTTTTTAGCTTGTTTACACATTCAGAACAAGGGTAATATTCGCGTGTGCTTTTTCGGGCTCTATTGAAACATAACACTAAACAAATGCATGCTATCTGTTTTCTTCGAGTTCAGTTAACAATTCATAACACTTGTTATATATACATAACTCTATCCATACGAACTCCTACATATATAAATATATCAAATTTTCATATAAAAATATAGTTCATATTGTTGGTATGCTGGTTTCCTTCCTCACATTATATACTTCAAAGCTAAACTACAGCGTCTACATGAAAGTTGCCTGAAGCAGAAGATACATGATAAAAAACATACAGCAAAGTATTTTTGGATAAGGACCTACTATTGAGTGTCTTTATATTTTATATTGATTTTTCTGACTTACGCACTAATAAGGAGCTCTTTTTCGTCTTTCAGTTGGTAGCTATGTTCTCAGAGTTTTAAAACTCTTACGAAAACCTTTTGGAAACTAAGATGACTGAGTATTTTTTTTCAAAACTCTTGTATCATGTCTTTTATGGAACAAGTATCAAACAGTGGAACTGCGTTTGCACGAGCGCTACAGGTATGCTGGCTTCCAAGCTTCCGTCACACATTACTATACATTTAAAGCAGGTAAAAACAACGCATATTAGATATGTCTAGAAATGATTCAATAATGACAGAGACTCACCTGCTTATAATGTTTTCCAGGTGATTCCTGTGGAGCTAAACATCCGTGCTCAACTTCCAGTTCAAGAATTTAACCAGGAACTGAGAAAGACTAAAATAACTCAGCTTGTTCGTGCGTACGATATACACTCTGCGAGGAACCACACTAAACTGATGCTTTCAGGGTAAAACCTCGGATATTGAACGTCGATGAACGTAGAGAGGCTCCTCTTTGTCCAAGCGTTTGCTCCAATAGGAAACGTCGAGACAATGACGTAACATGGTATGATGCGTGATAATTTCCTTCATACTTGAAACTTGTTAAAGTTTCTTCATGTCGCAGTTTTCGATATAAACTACCTTTATCCATACGAGCTCTGATAATGCTACGCATTTCTACGAGTATTAAATAAGTTCATCTCATTGCAACAGTGGGTAGTCTTTCATAATGAATAACGCACATGTGCGAAGATTACTTGACTAAAAAGTCACTTATCCCGAGAAAGATACAATCATGAATATTGCGATTAAAGAATACGTTGCGTTCACTAATATTCATATAGATGTATCCTTTTCACTCGTCTCTTAAAGCAATGTTGTCTTTCTACAAGAGTTGAGGTTTCGTTTTAATGACTTGAGATGAGAGCATGTATTTTGTAGTGCACTAATTCATTCTTCTGAGAAGGTAGTTAAAATATCTGTGGAATCATATACACTTTTTTCAAAGTATCTTTGATCGTATATTTTTTCTATTTTTCAGAAACAAGTTTAAAATTATTGGCAAAGACAAGACGTTACAAGATGTGTTAAATTTGGTTTGTTTTGAATTTCGCGCAAAGCTACTCGAGGGTTATCTGTGCTACACGTCCCTAACGTAGAGTGTTAGACTAGAGGGAAGTCGATTAGTCAACACCATCCACCGTCATCTCATACACTATTCTTTTACCAACGAATACTAGGACTAACTTTCACATTATAACGCCACCATATATAAAAGGGCGAGCATAATGAAGTGAATTCGAACTCATGACCTTCAGATTGTGAGTCGAGTGCTCTAAGTCAGCCATGCCCCGCCAATGTGTTAAGAAAGATGCTATTGTATTAGTGCTGCAAATCACTTTTTGTTCAATTGCGTACATCAGAATAATTCATTAACCTCGGTACGGTGAACATGTAGGAAAGCGATTAAGTTTTATAATTAAGTGTCTAGAACACATAGGAGGAAAGTTCAAGTGCTAAGTTAAAATGTCTTGATTTAGAATCTTTAAATTTTTTAACTTGAGTATTTTGTAAGAATGGAAAGAATATGTAATATGTGAAACGAGAGTATGTTTTAACTTAGGAAAAACTTCAAGTTCTGAAATGAAAATATGTACACCACAAGAGGAGCTACATCTGAGAATTTTGTAAACTTCTAATTTACTTATTATTATTTTTAATAAGAGGATAATTCCTGTTCTACAGCTAGGTATCCTGTAACATAAGGGGCACATTCAAGTTTAAAACTTAGACATCGTCTAACACGAGAAGGGTGTTGAAGTTCAAACGTAGCTTGAAGATTAGAAGCACTTAGATCCTAAATTTGAGATTATTGTAACATAGGGCAAGTAATCAAACCGTAAGCTAACGTAACGTGTCAAGTACTTATCTTTGAAATCAGCCAATCAAAGTAACTCGCTTCATGTTTTTACAACAGGCACTTCTAAAGGTCACTCTACCTTACGATTATAGCATGTGAAAATATTTTAAAAAACGTAACGTTGTAAAAAAAACAAGAACAAAAAACGGCGACGTCCGTGATGAAATAAAATTTCAAACAGGAAAAAACATATAACATATAAAAAAAGGATACTTTATTGTATCTTAAATGGATACCGATACAAAGTACTAGATTTCAGTGAAAAGACCAAAGGTTTCATAGTATGTCTACAATTAATAAACTATTTGTGCTCCGAACTGCACTCGTTATTAAGTTAGCTAACGGTTTTAAGAGTACCGGATCTCTCTTCTCAACACTTTGTAATTGTCAGCAGAGTACTAAAAGATTCTCGCACAACGTGTACGATATTGTTTAGTTTGTGTAAACATATGTGGTTCTTGGAGAAAAATGGAAAACCATTTTTAATACAAAATAATTATTTGTAGCAGATGATAAAATGGTATAAAGTGTAAACCTAAGTTTTCCAAGTGTAGGCCTATCAAATATTTTTTAGAATGTAGAAACTTGTCTAATCTAGCACAAACAAAAATTAATTCCAGGATTTTAACACACGTAGAAAAATGCCACCATTTCTCAGTTAAATTTCTAATTAACCTTATAAATCATGTTAAATAGTCGTTAGACAATACTTCAAAAAGTTAATAATGCGCAATATAGTAATAAAATATATATAATATTAAAAATAAAATCAACAACTAAGAAAAATGACATATGTTATGATGTATATATGTGTGTGTTTTTATAGCTAAGCGTTCTTTTAAAATATTTGCCCATAATATAACATTGTGACTGATTTCACAAAGTTCTATGAAATATCAAAACAAATATACATTTACATTTTTCCCAGTTTCCTTTTTGTGAAGAACTCTGAAAGAGAGACTAGCTATTTGTCATCGTGTTGTTCAGCATCACAAACATCAGTCTGAACGAAGCCAAATTAATACATATAGAACTTTAGTTCTTTTAAATATTTATATTACAACAAGATCCTATAATTATGTTTGTGTATTATTCTATTTTACACATAATTGTTCTTAGAACGGTGAGGTACTGTATAAAATACATTTGTTTGCTAAAGAATCTGCTAAGTGTGGTGAAGTTCAATATATACAAATGCATGAAGAATATCAGATCTGCTATCGCTAATCCACAAAGGCACACCTGTGAGAGAAGGAAACTGGGATTGACATGTAAAAAACTAGTGTTAAGTCTTTCAAATCAAACAATCATAGGTGTTCTCTTGTTTTTCAATACACAAAGGAGTAGCATGCAGAGATACAGTTTCAATAAGCTTAAAAAATCACACTGTGTTTAAAAAAATGTGTCAAGAACGACAGAGTTGTGATGAAGAAACTTTTAAGGTATTTTCTACACTTGGCCTAAAAACAGAACATGTCCGTGTTAGAGACAATTTCAATCAGCCTGAGTAGACTATATGCAAGGGAACATGAAAATTTCAATCTGTCTGAATAATCTACATGCAAGCGAACATGACACTATGACGTGACATGTAGAAAAATACCATTTTATACACACGATTTAATAACATCTGGGGTTTTAAAATATCACGAAAGGATTATTTCATTTGATTTTACTGAAAGAAATATCTTATTGTTGACATGATTTATACTTATTATGTTCTTAATACTTTCGTGAACACTTCACTTTATTCACTATGACGGTATTATGTGACCAGCCAGTAACGATCATATAAGACGTAGTGATAGATCAAAGTAACAATATAGTTCTATTAATAATTACGATAGAAAAATGTACTAGTATTCATTAGTCTTATCGTTCGGGACATATAGTAGAAATATCCATTATTACATTTTCATTCTACATATTCTTTTCGAGTATTTGTGGCAGCTCAACAGCGAGAGTGCCCTATGAAGTTCATTAAAAACATTTTGGTTTATGCTGTTCTAACCTAACAAATATTTTCTCAGCAAAGAGTGGTTACATCGAGTAGGTCTTTGCTTCTAATGAGAGTGTCTGCTGAGAGTTTAGGCATAGCATAGAACTCATTGAAAACAAGTTTAACAGCATTTCAAGTGTGAGCAGAATAAAGCACTATGACTATCCCTTTCTAATTCGCTTACTTCTAAAAAAATCAAATTTTCTTGGTAGAACAACTTTTTAAAGATTCAATACATATACTATTATTGTTTGAAACACGAAAACAAAATTCTTGAAGTGATGAAAACCTTGGATTCTGATACTGCTTTGACTTTTCACTTAAATGAGTACAAATTTAATCAGTGGGTTTTCATTAAATTTAAGATTTTACTTCATTTCTAGACAAATATATAAAACGAATAATTTTTTTTTCCAAATTTCTACAATTTTACCACACAACGTCTATGTTGTATATTTTGTTATACTCTTAGAAGTATTTATAAAATAAAACCCTTGGAACAATATAATGCAGATGTCTGACGAGCTAGCATTTTTAATAACACAGACCAACCAACAGACAAATCTGAGCTTTAACTGACATATAATGTTTTCAGAGTAAGAGTCACAACAATTTTATAGTTTCTTAGAGGATATTAAATGAAAAACAAGCAACGAAACCTTAAATAATCAGCAAGCTCTAAGACTTTATGTGCGTGAGTTAAGGTTTTCTTTCGTGACGAGAGTTTATATAACAATTTATAGTCTCTGCTGCTAACATTTAAAACCTTGCCTTCTACCAATCACTAATAACTAATCATTAATAACTACCTAATTGTTCTCTGTAACAAAGCTTTTCCAAGATACACGTACATTATAGTAATAAACATCTCACATTGTTCTCTGTAACAAAGCTTTTCCAAGATACACGTACATTATAGTAATAAACATCTCACATTGTTCTCTGTAACAAAGCTTTTCCAAGATACACGTACATTATAATAATAAACATCTCACATTGTTCTCAGTAACAAAGCTTTTCCAAGATACACGTATATTATAATAAAACAAACTCCATTTTATTGTGTGCTACTACTGACTTTTATCAATGTAGATTTTGATGTATAAACCTTTTCCGCATTTTCTTACTCGTATTTTGTGGTTAATTGACTTTAATTTCAGTTTCAAAAAATGTTTTATTTAGAAGGCCTATGAGAAGCGAGTGCTGGAGCATTCCTAGAAACTTTAACAAATAAATTCGCCAACACTGTTATAAAACGTTACTGATGCTACTTACTTTAGGTAGTACATTCCTGGGAGGAAAGGAACTCAAAATGAAAAAGTTTGTATTCGACCATGACTTAGGAATACTATAAAATACATTGTTAACGTCATTATTACATTCTTAGGCATTATCTAATTTAGGAAGTACCGATTTTCTTGCAAAATCATGATATCTGTTTTACAATCATTCGTGCAGCAATAAATGAGAAAATATTTAACCATTTATTTTGTTGGCCAGTGTCTATATGAGCT